AAAAAAAAAAATTAGAAGTTTAAAAATCACCCAAAGCGGGTTAAACAGAAAGCTTTGAGAAAGCTAACTCCTGAAAAAGTATCCAAGATCCAGTATACTACAACCTACACCACAAAATTATCCACATAGTTCCTTACATCTGCCTCCCACCTTTTCCCTCTATACACAAAGCCCCTAGGAAACTCAAAGTTTCCCTCTTCCATACTCACCTCTTCCTCAGGCACGCCAAATTTTCGTAGAAGCTGCTTGGCATTTTTCAGAGAAAGGCGACGGAGATCTGCATCTGTTCCTGTCACTGTCTTCTTCACGGGCTGAGGCTCCTTATCATCCTACCTCAGACATAAAACAAAAAAGGCAAGAATTGTAATAAGCAGAATCCCTTATAACAGGCATCTAAGTCATCCTGTCAATTAGGTGTTTTCCAGATCCTCCACTCCTTAACTTCCATTTCTTCCTCCCTTGAGATTTTAGCTTCTAGGACTTCAGAACAGTCTCACCTTCTGCTGTGTTGGTTTGTTTGGAATCTTGACATAGGAGAATCCTTCACCACACCCTGTAGGATCTGCCACCCCAGTCACCTCCAGGAGACACTTGCCCTTCATGGCAGCGATGAAAGCCCTTGTGGTGTTCCAAGGAGCAGTGCGAACCTGAGGTACAAAAAAAGATTCTAAGGGCCGTGGGAAATGTGCTCTATGTCTAGCCATACTTAGAAGGTTGGGGTGCCTGGGGGCTCAGTTGGCTGAGTGTCTGATTCTCGATTTCAGCTCAGGTCATGATCCCAGGATCATGAGATGAACCTGGGTCATGGGATGGAACCTGGGTCAGGCTCTGCACAGAGCATGGAGCCTGCTTAAGATTCATTCTCTCTCTCTCTCTCGCTCCCTCCCTCCCTCTCCCCCCACCCCCTGCCCCTCTGCCCTGCCTGCTCTCTCTCTCTCTAAAAAATAAAAAAAAATTGGGGCGCCTGGGTGGTTCAGTCGATGGAGCATCTGACTTCTGCTCAGGTCATGATCTTATGGTTCGGGAGTTTGAGCCCCATGTTGGGCTCTGTGCTGACAGCATGGCATGTGCTTCGGATTTTCTCTCTCCCTCTCTCTCCACCCCTCCCCTGCTCGTGTTCTATCAAAATAAATAAATGAACTTTAAAAATTTAAAAAAGGAATTTAAATACAAATCAAGATGTCAGTCAGCAGAAGGAAGAATATGTGGAACCCTGGGGTACCCTTCAGTCTCATATCCCTTGGGATATACTGAGAGTTCTCAAAGATAGTGTAGCCACCCTCACGATGCTCAAAGAGGTTACACTGATGATGCATTTGATTGCCCCATTGCTCAAATGGCTTCTTTAGAATGACCAACATATTCTATAATTAAATGATAAGCATGCTTTACAAAGCACTGGCCTTAACTCTAGCAGCACCAAACCAAAGTCCATTCTACCTCTGCCACTGGTTTGATCAAAAATGTCTGTCCTCTTCTGAGACCCTGAATAGGATTTACTGACTGCTGCCAAATAAAGACAAGAGGAATGTGCTTGTCCACACAGACCAGTTAAGAGTATATACATGATTAGCTAAAAAGTGGCCAATTCTATCCAAGATTCAATCCTGAAGGCTACTTAACAAAATCTTTAATTTCTGAAATTCTCAGACATCCACTCATTTTTTCACTCCAACCCCAAAAGACCACCACGACTATGTTTCTTCACTCACTCTGACCTCACTACAATCATTCACCGATTTAACAAATATTTTTTGAACATCTACTACATTCCAGGCACTACTTTCTCACAGATCTCCTACTAGTGAGGAAGAGACAAATAACCAACCAAATTCAATACCGCACCACCAGTGCACTGACAGAAAAGTAAAAAGTGCTACCTGTACATTAAGAAGGGAAGAGTGATGACCCAATATCAGTAAAGGGTGGGAGTGAGGACAAGAGTCGGGGCAAGCTTCCAAAAGAATACAAACTGCAGGGGCGCCTGGGTGGCTCAGTCGGTTAAGCGACCGACTTCAGCTCAGGTCATGATCTCAAGGTCCGTGAGTTTGTGCCCCACATCGAGCTCTGCACTGACAGCTCAGAACCTGGAGCCTGCTTCAGATTCTGTGTCTCCCTCTCTCTCTGCCCCTCCCCTGCTCATGCTCTCTCTCTGTCTCAAAAAGAAATAAAAACATTAAAAAAAAAGAATACAAACTGCAAATGAAGGTAAGATAGTAGAGGAGTGTCGAGATCATATTCTAGGTAGAGGGAAGAGCAGTTGCAAAATCCCAGAAGGCAACAGAAAGAAATTTGGGAGACCAAGTGAACTTTAGCATATTTGGAGCTTAGAGTACAAGATGGGCAGTGGCAGGATATGAGAGGAGGTTAGAATTACATACAAGACCCAAATCATGTAGCTCCTTGTAAATAACATAAATAAAAGCTTCTAAAACAAACAAGGACCCAAAGGAAGTCTGTGGGCAAGAAAGTCATATACACGATCAAAATTTTGTTTTAATTTTTTCTTTTATTTTTTTACTGTTTACTTACTTTTGAGAGAGAGAGAGTGTGAGAGATAGAGAGAGAGAGAATGAATGGGAGAGGAGTAGAGAGAGAGAGAAAGAGAGAGAGAGAGAGAGAGAGAGAGAGAGAGAGAGAGATTTTGAAGCAGGCTCCAGGCTCTGAGCTGTCAGCACAGAGCCTGATGTGGGACTTGAACTCATGAACGAGATCATGACCTGAAGTTGGATGCTTAACTGACAGAGCCACCCAGGCACCCCTTAAATTTTTATTTTAAAAAGTCATTCAACTTAAAAAAAATGGTGCTGGAATAATTAGACATTCATATGCAGGAAAAAAAAAAAACCTTAATCTATACCTTGCATCCTATATAAAAATTAACTCAAAATGGATCTAAATATAAGATCTAAAACAATAAAACTTTTACAAGAAAACATAAAAGAAAATCTTTGCAACCTTGAGTTAGATAAAAATTTCTTAGATACAATATCAAAACCACAAGCAACAGAGAAAACTGACAATTTGGACTTCTGCTCTTCATAAAACACTGTTAGAACAATTAAAAGACAAGCCACAGCCTGGGAGAAAATCTTGCAAATCACATACCCGATAAAGGAGTCAGACCTAGAATGCATTTGAGAACTCTCAAAACTCAGTAAGAAGAAAATAAGCAACCAATTCAAAATAAAAGCGGACTTAGGCACCTGGGTGGCTCAGTCAGTTAAGCATCCAACTCTTGGTTTTGACGCAGGTCATGATCTCACAGTTCATGAGTTCGAGCCCTATGTCAGGCCCTGTCTGCACTGACAGTGTGGAGCCTACTTTGGATTCTCTCTCTCCCTCTCTCAAAATAAACAAACATTAAAAAAATGATGGGGCGCCTGGGTGGCGCAGTCGGTTAAGCATCCGAC